GCCATGGCCGCTGAGCCTGCGCGTCCGGAGCCTGTGCTCAGCAGCGGAAGAGGCCCGCGTACCGCAAAAAAAAAAAAAAAAAAATTTAAATGAAAAAATGAACAAACAAACACATAAACCCCCCAAGCAAACAATGCTGGCCAAATAAAACCCTAGTCAAGCATACCCTACACCTTCAAGAGTCACTGCTTGACCCTTGAAGTTATTCTAGCGAATAGAATAAGTATGAAGAATTCTATGAAGTAGAAATAAAATGATTTGCTATCTTCTAACTTAAAAAAAAAATCCAACGCTTTCAACATTTTAACTTTCATTCATGCATTCACCACTTATTATCGAAGACCAGCTACGTGTCAGGCATAACCTAGGCATTGAGAATTCAGTTTATAAGTCAGATCCCCCAAAACCTGCCCTCGTGGAGCTTGACTTTTGACTAAGGGAATAAATTATTTACTTATTTAAATAAATAGTAAAGGGGGAAGTAAAGCAGAGATGAGTGATCAGTCTCAGTGGAGGGTTCAATTTTAATTTTATGAGATTTCGGGAGAAAGATTCAAGTTGCAAATATGAGTTGAAGACTTGAAACAAATAGCCATATTCTACTGAAGTCTTCCAGGGGAGAAAAACCCAGTGACTTGCCAAGATCTACTTGTGAAGTATGCGTCATATTTCTGGGGATTTGGTTATTAGAATCTATTATATTTCACGTAAACTTACTGAATATCACGACTTACTCAAGTCTTCTGAGAGTGAGTGTTTTGTGTTTTGTGTCTTCACACCTCCCACTGGGGGCAGGGAGTGGGTGGTGTGACATTTCATTAGAAAGGTCCCTGATTCCAAATAACCTTCAACAAATTAACCCATTCTGATCCTTACAGATATGGGACTAGGATTCTCCCTCTCTTTCCACAGAAAATGTCGTGAGGGAAATTTAGAAATATTCCATTTCTCCAGAAGCATCAGGGAGAAAGGAGAAAGATGTTATAAAAATAGATATAGTAATACATTTTGTGAAAGGACTGTGGCTGGCGTTCATCACCTGCTTTGTCTTGAGCTGCTGTATCTCCTCTGGCTAAGTCCTCTTACTGGCTTCAGTCTGTCCCTTCCCCTCCTACTGCTTTGCACATTTCACTGCTTTGGAGCCTTCCAAGTGGTTTTTATTGGCCTGAGTCATGACAGGGTTGACGATGTGTACTTAATCTTGAGAGAGTGGCTGGTCAGAGATTGAGTACAAGGGCTCTCCCTCTGGCCTTGGACTCCGGCAAGGTGCCCTCCAAAACTGCTGAGTGCAGGACCACTCCCTTGGCCCTGAGAGAATTCAAGCTACAACCGGCCTATTGTGGGAGTTGCTGACAGCGAGTGGCTTTGGGAGCCCCTCAGAGACCTGTCACAATGGCTCTCGGAAAACCGTAGCAGCTGCGTGTGTGAGAAAAATGAATGCCCGGATACAGGCTGCTGCCCTGGCTCCTGGGCCACCTGGGCCTGGTTTTATTCAGAGCCACACACCCGTTTGTGGAGAGCATTGTAAACAAACACGGACTGGGGTGAGACATCCTCTTCACCCCGAATAAATCAAAAACTCCCTCACTTGGGCTTTCTAGAAGCCTGTTCTCCAAACTGCATCAGACTTTTAAAGGAGGAATTACCTCTCCAGCCACAGGTCAAAGAGTAAAGCCTTTCTTTTAACCTCACAGCTACTCTTACTAAACAGTGTGTATGTAAAATATTAAGCCAATCTCTTTGCT